CACGGCGTGCTATAATAAAGTATGGAGCAATTAATGGAGAGATTGTAAATAATATTCGATACGCGGACCACACTGTACTAGTTGCAAGAGCAGTAGAAGAATTACAAAGATTATTTACAGACATAAATATTGCTTGCAACAATTATGGTATAAATATCAATATTAAAAAAACCAAGTATATGGTCTTCAGTAAAAACATGACACAACCAGCGTATATTAGTATAAACGGCACTCAAGTTGAAAAAGTATCAAGTTACAAATACTTGGGAACTTTAATAAACGAAACTGGAGACCAAAACAGTGAAATAAAAAGACGTATCGAAATTGCCAGGGTCACCTTCATAAAGATGAGAAAATTCTTCTGCAACAGAAATATAAGCATCCCTCTACGATTAGGAATGCTGAGAGGCTATGTATTTAACACGCTATTATACGGTGTAGAGGCCTGGACTCTCAAACAGAACAACATGAAAAATATTGAAAGTTTCGAGATGTGGTGCTACCGTCGAATGCTGAAGATTAGTTGGATTGAAAGAATAACAAACTGTGAAGTAATACGAAGAATAGGAAAAGACCCAGAGATTTTGTTAACGCTAAAGCGAAGAAAACTCGAATATTTTGGTCATCTGATGAGAGGACATAAATACGCATTACTTCAAAATATAATGCAGGGAAAAATAGAAGGAAAACGGAATCCAGGCCGTAGAAGAATGTCATGGTTGCGGAATTTGAGAGAGTGGTTTGGCTGCACCACTAATGAACTCTTTAGGTCAGCCGTAAATAAGGTCAGAATAGCCTTGATGATTTCCAATCTCCGATAGGAGTGGCACAAAAAGAAGAAGAAGGAGCACGGCGTTGTAGCTAGTATTGAACAATTCCAACCACTGTAATATTCGTATTCTGGCCTCCACACCCATCAGCCACTAAACGCACTTTCTCTACCCCTTCATGAAAATGAAAGTTTGTCAATGTGTAATAAACAGTGGAAACAATGTCATTTGAACTTCTCTAGCGATCATTCACTGTCCATATAAACGATTTTACTGATTCAGGATTCTTCTTTTTCTTGATGTGCCTATCAGTTACGAATGTTGGGGATCATCATGGCAATCTTTATCTTATCTTCGGCAGCGCGAAAAAGCTGCACAGATGTTGTATTGAACCAAATTCTGAGGTTCTTTAACCAAGATTTCTTCTTCCTGGACCTCGCTTTCCAAATATTTTTCCTTGCAGGATGGCTTGAACGAGAGCATATCTTGATTCATTTCGCATAATATGTCCGAAGAATTGTAACTTTCGAGATTTAATGGTGGTCAGTACCTCTCGGTTCTTATTCATTCTTCTGAGGACCTCCTCATTTGTGACTCGGTCAGTTCACGGGATGATTTAGGATTACACCTGTAAAATTGTACAAATTTATTTGCATACTAAAATAGCAGGCCTGATATGGAATCTTTGGAAGTGGTAGATTCTTTTGGCAATCAAAGGAAAATATTGCTACTGTGCGATTGTCTTATTAATATTGTCTGATTAATAACTCATAAAACGCTTTACTAAGCAGTTTCTCTACGCGCTGTTCTGTCATTATCTTTATTTTTTCTTGTGATGTCCATCTGTCATCCGTTAATCTGGCAACATGTCCGGCCCAAGCCCATTTAGCCCTGGCTATTTTTTCAACTACATCTGTGACTCCTGTTCTTCTTCTTATTTCTAGGTTTGGTACTTGTGAGACATATCCTTCTTTGTATTTCGGTTGTCTGATTATCTCGGCCTAGGCGAATCTCATGCCCTAGATATTTGTAAGCTATTACTTGGTCAATGCTATGGCTCTCAATCAGAATTTTGCCGCGGACTACAAGGTTGGTCATAAATTTTGTTATTAAGGTGTTAATTTTAAGACCAATTGATTTTGATACTTTATAGAGTGTGTGCAGCATTTTTGTAGCTTTATCAACTCTATCAGATATTAAAACGATGTCATCGGCAAATCTTAGGTGGTTCAGATCTTCACCATTTATATTAATTCCCATATTATCCTCTCGTTCGATTTGCTTTAACATATATTTAAGAACAGCTTTAAACAATTTAGGGAAGATAGTATCACCCTGTGTAATTGCACGTTCTATTCGAAACTTCTTGGTATTTTCATGAAGGCGGACACAAGCTATACCAGTTTCGTAAATACTTTTAATCAAGGCAATATATCGGTAGTAAATGCGGAAGTCAGCCAATGCTCGAAGCATTTTATGATGATCTATAGTATCGAACGCCTTTTCATAATCTACGAATATAAGAAAGATAGGCTTGTTATACTCTGTACACTTTTCTATTAGCGTTTTTACAAATTGCAGATGATCATTTGTTCCGTATCTGGAGCGGAACCCAGCCTGTTCACAAGGTTGAAAACTTGGTTCAGTTTATTCACAAGCCGTTTTGTTATTATCTTCATGAATAGTTTGTATGTATGGGAGAGCAAACTAATAGGTCTGTAGTTCTTTAGGTCTGATATGTCACCTTTTTTGTACATTATGGTTATTATTGCATTATGCCACTAGCAGGGGTTTATGCCTCTTGTCAAACAAGCATTGAACATATTTTTCAACACATTTAGTAACGTTCCTCCTCCTTCTTTGATTTGTTCAATCACTATCCCATCTTCTCCAGGTGATTTAATGTTTTTCATCTCCGAGAGAGCTGATTTTATTTCCTCTGTTGTGATATCTGGGATATCTTCTGAGTCTACATTTTGAACTTTTGGTATTTGATTTTGATCAGGATCTGGAAGTTCTTCTCGCTTATACAATTCTGAGCAAAAATCTTGAGCAATTTTTAAAATATCTTCCTTATTTGTTGTAGTTTCTCCTTTTTATTTACAAGTTTTAAGTTTTAAGTTTACAAGGCAACTTATTGCCTTGTAAACTTGTAAACTTGTGCCTATGTTATAAGAACATATTTAGTTCACAAGGAAAATATTGTCTAACAACTGTTTTATTCCTGGCATAATGAGTTTCGTAGCAAGTAATAGATTCAATCAAATGTGTTATAGCTTGATTTTTACAAATTGATTTTTGTGAAGTTCTGTCACCTCCTCTTCTTTTATATATATATACACAGTATCACTAAGATGTTTTTTTACAAACAGGAATTAATTCTCTTGACTTGTTAACGGTGTACTTCACACTGACTGTTTTTGGTTTGTTTAGAACATTTTCTTTAATTTTCGTAACACTTATTTTAGAAATATTTGTCACGCAGTGCTTCAATACAAACATGTCTTGATAGGATTTCGATGGTTTGCTATAAAAGCTTTCGTTGAATTTTCTGATATCGGTCATTGTCAACGAGGAATATTGATGAACTTTAATGTTATGAGCACAACTGGGAAATTCAGGAAGGCACCGCTGAGAATACCTAAAAAAGTAAAATGATATAATCCGATCAGTTGTTAAACAAAAACTTCGATGTGAACATAACTCTGTTTTTTTGCTCTTTCTCGTTTCCACTGATCCTTAATTACCAATGGTTTTCGCTCTTTACCAGCTGGACTTTTTTCAATAACAATGTTATTCATATTTATAATGTTTAATTATTGTTTGTTTTCATGAGCACTAATTCATAACGTATGTTTACCACGTTTGGTCTTGTGACTAAAAGTCTAATGTGAGTACAAAGTATTAACCAAATACGAGTGACAATACGAAACAGCGCAAACACGACAGCAGGTGACTAAGAAGTCGCATCCGGATTGGATTTAAAAGCAAATGTCTGCCACTATACCTAACAAGTGTACACAAAGTCACAAATGTCTACTTTTGCATCTAAGTGAGAGCACCCAACAAACTGGCATGGCAAGTGGCAAGTAGCAAGTAGCAGGCCTACTTAAAATGTAACCAATGCAAACGAATGATTATAATGAATGACGTCACCGTCATTTTGGTATGCGCTGAATCATTCGTTTTCATTGGTTACATTTTAAGTAACATGCTAGACGCGCGCTACTTGCCCCTTGCCATGCCAGTTTGGTGGGCGCTCCCCCTAAGGCTGAATTTCAACTGTGAATAATGCCATTCAAATGTCTGTTTATGAACATAAGGGTCAGAAAAACGGATTCCTATCAATGTTTACATATAGCATCCATATATAACTCATTTTTTTTTAAATGTCAAAAATCTGGTTTTGCTTTTATACGCTTCATTTTTATACTCCCTGTTTATTACCAGCAGATGTCTGAGATAACTCTTATCTCATACCAATGCATTAATTGTAATAAACACCGCGAAACGTTAATTTCTCTCATGGACATTGCAAAAAATGTAGCTAGATAATTGCAAAAATTGGAGCATTTCTGATTTAAAATAATGTATACTTAAAAGCTAAAATTTAAAAAATCACCAAAATTTTGATTTAGAAGAAAAAAAATAAACTTTGGACTGGGCTAATTTTCTTGAAAAACTGTATCTATATGTGCTGAAAGTTCATGGCACCACTTGAAATATTTTAGAAGCAAGGTTTTTCTAAAACATATATTACGTTTTATTAATAACAGTACCTAATACCAATATTAATAGTAATAAGTAACATATAATAAACAACTAAACATACTGTTTGCAAAACATCAATATTCGTGATTTAAATAAATGTTACGTAACCAAAGAACGATTAGCTATCGGTAGTTAATGCATTAAATAAATAAATCCCAATCCCAATACCGTTCCAAAATAAAGACAAAATTCTCTGCGCACTGGCCATAGAAACTAACCAATTGCCATTGCGGCATAAAAAATCTTCTTGGAGTGTAAAGTGTAAAACCAGTAAACTAGTTTCAACTTTTTCGACGTTAACATCATCGGTCTCCACATCACGGGCCGGTCGAGGTTCACGTTCGCGTCTCACGCAGACTTCACCATTCTTCAGACGTACCTCCGCGTTTCCGTGGGTGTGTAATTATTATTCCGTATTTTAATTTACCTCTAGTGACTAAACGTTAAGTGAATATTCCGGTCTTTCTGCATATACATTGGGTGGTGTCTTTTCGAAATCCATGTAAGTATTTGTGCTACTTTTACCAGCTAATTTCTATAATGTTGAGAATTGTTTTTATAAATAATCGCACCTATAACGGTTGTTTTCGTATCGGTGTAACACTTTTGGGTTGTGGGATTGTCGTTTTCTTGCGGTAGTGAGGAATGACAAGAAGTTCATTAAAAGATTCCAACCTGTTATACCCAATATATGGACTTATTTTTGCAAATAATTAAATATATCAATCGTTGTTAGTAATTAATTAATATAACCTGAGAATGTTAATTACGTTAACATCATCTTAGACATATATGTCTCACAAAGGTATTTTTATAATAACTAAGAGTAATTCATGGAAACTTTCTATTTGTTTGAAAGTCTTCATGATGTTCATTTAAAACTATGCAGATACACGTTTTCCTATTTATATATATTTTCCTATACTTACTTAAGTAATTGTATTCTTTCTTTATCGTTTATTGTTCTTTCTCACCTGCTTTAATATTCCTATTTGGTGCTATCATCAAATTCATCCCTCGAATAATTTATACACCTTTTTCTTTTGCCTTATCATTTTCTTTGTGTCCACATACGTATTCTTTCTTCGATAGTAGTAGTTATGTTTTTCGTAGTTATCACTTTTATCTATTATCTCTTCTTTTATGATTATATTCGTTTTTAATAGGAACTCCAATATTTCGTGTTACTGTACTGCGTTTTTTAATGTTTAAAAACACGTTGACTCTTTATGAATTATGGACAATTGTCACTTATAGAGTGACCCTAATACTTTTATAATTAAACCCAACAAAAAATTAAACAAAATCTTAAACTTTTATTATAACATACCTCTCCATTGAGCCCAAACTACAATATTGCTACGGTGGAGGACATACGCGTTTAGATCAATTTTACTGCTTATTACTAAACTTATAATATGTTTATAGGAGATAGAAGATTAATTAGAATAAAATAGAATTTTTAGGATTTCATGTAGGGGTATCATTATTTTCCTTCTTTCAAAATGATTCAACAGTTTTGTACAGTTATCGTCAACAATGAGTGCTTCATAAGTTAGGGTAAGGTGGGGTAATTGGATCATGATTTTACAACAAATCTGCATTCGGCTTAGATTTTTAGTTACCTAATGATCAAAGTATAAGTAAAGTTTAAACTATTTGTATAAAAACATGATCTTTATTTAATACTATTTAAATGTATGGAAACTTAATTTGATTGAAAGTATTACAGTAATAATAAAGTAAGTAAGTAAGTAACAGGAGCAGCCAGCCTAAAATCGCATAAGAGCTAGTAGAAATCATTGTGGGCTATCGGGCCTGATTTTATATCTTTACACTTTTCAAAGAAACCCCAAACAATAATTTAAATTGAGCGAATTTGAAACCAGACTCAATGTAAGGGTATCGTCTCGCACCTAGTAGATAAGGTTTATGAACAAATTATACACAGTTTGCAGCTAACAACCTGAAATTTAATGCCATTACATTAAAGAGTTTATAAACTTACATTTAAAGAGTTTATATTTTAATATATTCCTAAACAAAATTCTTTATGAAACAGAAACTGCAAATTGATAAATAAGATTAGTAAAGAAGCGTTTATAATCTCATTATGTCCCACAAATGCTGCAATTCTTTTACATAAAAAAACCCTCTATTAGAAATAATTTTTGGTTCTTCAATTGTACCAATAACGACATCCCAATCGTATTTTCCAATATCTGCTTTATCTGGCCACTTTCAAGACTTCAAAGATTTCTGCATCGATTAAATTTCAACTTGGTTATCTGTAAAGCTTAAGATTTTTTCTGGAAAATACTATTCTTTATACTTAAAGATTACATATTCACCAACTTTTTTGACAATTTGGTTAAGGTCTAGTTGCTGAAAACACTTCTTTCTTCTCGCTATCTAAATATCTTTCATTTTCTTCTAAAATATCTTGCAAATCAACATCATCATTACTTTCTGATATACAATCAAAACTGTTATTTTTCTTTTGTTTTAAAAAGGGGAGTGTAGGCCTACGTTTAGCTTTCGGTTTGGCCTTTCTTTTCATATTTTTTTTCAATATCTTTCATTTTTTCTTTTTCCTCTTTTTCCCTTTTTATTAGGTAATCTTTGCAGGTGATAATTTCACAGTTAGTGACCAGTCTTTTTCGTTTCTTTCCTGAATTCTGTGGTCTTTTATCTTTTTTTATCATTTCTAACAACAATTCCTCAAACGACTTCTTCTTCTTCTTTATGTGCCATCTCCGCGACGGAGGTTGGCAATTATCATGGCTATTCTGATCTTAGATGTTGCTGCTCTGAATAGTTCAATTGATGTGCATCCGTACCATTCTCTCAAGTTACGCAACCATGAGATTCTTCTTCTTCCTACACTTCTCTTGCCCTGGATTTTCCCTATTGCAGCTTTCGTGTCTTGATGATTTCAAATACTTCCATTCTTTTGTTGATTCTTCTCATGACTTCGTTGTTTGTTACATGCTCGGTTCATGATATCTTCAGGATTCTTCTACACACCTACATTTCAAATGCTTCCAACTTTTTAGCAGTCGACGCGTTAAGTGTCCATGCTTCCATCCCATAAAGCAGAGTCGAGAAAATATAACACCTTGCCAGCCTAACTCTCAAGTCCAATTTTAGTTCTCTTGCACAAAGTACCTTTCTCATTTTATTGAAGTTTGTACGTGCTTTCTCTATTCGAACTTTGATTTCTTTGGAATAATCGTTTGTGTGATTAATTATTGTTCCAAGATAGTGGTAGTTTTCAATTTGTTCTAAAGCACTACCGTTAATTGTCAGGCTTTCATCATTATTTTGGGTTTTTGTTATCCTCATAAATTTGGTTTTCTTGGTGTTTATTGATAATCCATATTCTTCTCCATACTCAACTATCTTGTTCATTAGCTTTTGTAGGTCTTGGAGGTTGTCTGCTATTATGATCGTATCGTCCGCATATCTAATGTTGTTAATTGGTGTTCCATTGACCTTGATTCCTGCTGTTTCTCCCTCAAGAGCTCTTTTCATAATTTCTTCAGAGTATGCATTGAATAGTAGTGGTGAGAACACACCAATATTATTAAATGATTTACGTGTTCGTAAAGAAGGCCCAATTGGCGAGATAGAGCTTTCTTTGTCTACTTGAACTTCATTTGCAGAACTAGCTTCTGTTCTTTCAACCATTGTAAAGGTAGAGACAGAAGTTTCTGGCTGTTCTGTTAGGATTAAAGCTTTCGAGACATCTGATTGTACCATATCTGAAAAAATATGGGATGCTTATTGCCCTACATTTGAATAATTGTAGTCTTCTTGATTTCCAGTGGCTATAACAGGACTCGCATCTGGTTGTAGTGCTGCTGAATATGTAGTCCTACCGTCTTCTGACTGTACTGTGGCTGAGGAAGGGATAGTTACTGAGTGTTGGACATTCACAGAAGCAGTAGCTTCCAAGTATACTCTAGTGAAATTGAAAAGATTATTTGTATACCTAAGCAAATCATCTTTTTTGAATATTGATGTAGGAATTGCATGTCTGTTAGGACCTTGTTTATCGGCATCATAAATTACTGTGGCTTTAAATCCGTTAATAATATTAATACTAGATATTTCATGGGCTAGCTTGGTTATCAGTTCAAAAATATTTCTTTAGGATTTTTTTGCGAGATTTTCCCTCTGCCACTTACTGAGTGCCTTGTCCTAACTATTTTTCAGACCTCTAAAGACGGACACATCTAACGGTTGTAATAAATGTGTCATGTGTGGAGGCAACTTCATAATATTAATTTCATTTTTTTGTGCTAACTTAATCAAATCTGTGGATACATGGGTAGCATGGCCATCATAAATTAATAAAACTGGTATTTTCTTTGTAATATTAGGTAAAAAACATCTCTAAACCAATTAAAAAACAAAGTAGTTTCCATCCAACCTCGAGACGTTGTAGAAACTGCAGTTTGGGATGTTGTATTCTCATTAATCCAATTATACATATGTACCTTTAAATACACAGAGAAGAGATATCATTTGACCATCAGCAGAACAACACAACAAAACAGATGTGTTTTCTCGGCCAGACGAACTGGTATTCTTTTTGTACCAATTGCACCAACGACCTTTGTTTTACTAGGGTCGTGGCAAAATGACGTCTCGTCGCAATTAAATATCTATTCTGGATTCCCCTTAAGGTTTAGTTCTTCCATAGTTTTTGTTAATATTTCGAAACAATTATAGATGACCCATTGGTTCACCTGATCGCAACTAACATGTTCAATACTCGTAGGTTTCTTTATTGACAGACGGTGCCTAGTTTTAAATAATATAAACCCGTCAGGGCCTGGTCTCTGGTCTTGAAATCCTTATGCAATCTGCAATTTATTTTTACTCAAGAGACGACAAATATGATTGAACTCCTCCACCATCGCTACCTTCTTTTAAAGTCAGTCCAGTCCCACGCGTTCCTTTGACTCGATGCTTCAGTGAGGTTCGTGAAATATTGTAAAATAATGATGCCACTTATCTTCTTTTTTCTGCCTTTGGTTCACTTTCAGCATATGTTGACGTTGTAGCAACGCGTTTATTATCAAACCAGGACATTACACTGACATCCACATTGTCTATATTGGCCATTTTATCTACCATATGAACTCTGCCGCCCTTCTTCATTTCTTTCTCAGTTGGCATCACAACTCCAGGAACACGATTAAGTCTTACTGTTCCAAAGGTAAAATGCCCTCTTTGGTCAGATATATCATAAGAGGTATGCTGGTGAACCAATTGTCAAAAAGCGATACCAAAACAATTGATGTTTTGGTATCGAATCGGCTAATTTGACAACCACGTTGCTGCTCATACTAAGATTTGGTGCTCCTAGAGATACAATATTACTCTGCAGCAAACAAATTAAAGTCTAGCTGAATCCCGAAATACCACTCAGCACAAAGTTTTTGAAGCCCCACTTATGTGGTTTTTTTTGGGTTATACTGCTTTAGCTGGCTT